GTGACTCACTTCATCTGAACTCCTTCCTTGCCCTCCACAATCACCAAGTTGGGGTCCATGTTTTTTGTCATTTCTTCTAAAGCATTTTCTGGAATCATGTCTGTGAACAAACACAAAATTATAAAGTCTATAATAACGTTTAATTGTATAAGATGACGTTTTGTGAACATCAGAATTATTTGGAATCATGTGTTTGTCCAAGACTGACCAATCTGTCAATCTAAGAACATAGCATCTCTGTTTTGGAGCTACATATACTTTATAGCTCCCTCTCGTGGATCTTGCAGGATCTACAGCGAACTCAATAAGAGATTATTCATTGAATTTGAACTTCAGTCCCAGTCTGAAAGGTTCTTAGTAGTTTTCTAAGGTATTTATGAAACTGTTCATAGAACAAACAGAATATGTACACTAACTAACCTGTTTTTGCACTGTAGAAGACGGCCTTAAGTCAAGATTAAAAGAAAACCTTAACTAAATAAAAATGTAATAGAAAATGTCTGTCAGATGCAACATCTCATGCGTTTGTCACTCACGCTGATGGCTGACGATGCAGTGAGCAGCCAGGAGCTTCAGTAAGGGAACCTCGAACAAGGCCTGGTGAAACAGCAGCTCCTTCGCTGTGGGTCGTTTACTGGGATCGACTTCCAGACATTTCTGAATAAATTCCTGATGAGGTGTTGAAAGGAAAAACAAAACATTTAAAAAACTGTTTTAAGCTGTTATGGACTCAACACACGATGCTATCGTCTGCTCACCCGCTGCAGCGGATCCTCTAACGACTGAATGGCGTTGTTTATGGCTTCTTGAGACACGTATGACGAATCTCCGTTACTTTGGATTTCTAACACAGCCATCTGAGGAGACAAAGGTGAAAGGCCAGAGTTGAGTTGATCCTTATAACAAATACATGTGGAGGAATATATCTCCAATCAGAGTCATTCCTTCTCACCTCTAAGGCGCACATTCCAAATGAATAGATATCCACGGCTGTGGTGACATTGGCATCAGCTGAACAGAAAACACAGGCTGATCAGAATCAGAGAAACACCGACACACGTTGCAGCTTTACCAGCAGTGGTACGACTCTCACCTCCATACTCTGGAGCAAAAAAGTGAAGACTCTTCTTCTCTTCCCGACAGGTTTTCACATGGTTGTTGATGGTGTCTGGAGCAACTGAGATACAGTAGAAGAAAATAAAATCACTTGAAATCAGGTTTGATAGATTTAGAGAAAAATATATAATTTGATGAGTTAGTCTATTAGCTATTAGCCATGTCTGGACTCTACCTGAGCCAATTTTGATGAGGCCATTGTGTTGAATGAAGATGGTGTCACATGTCAGGTTTCCATGAATGATGGGAGGTTCACAGGAGTGTAAGTAGCTGTAGTTGGGGGAGAGAAATATGGTAAAAGTGAGTGACTGACTGCAGTACAGGTGTTAAGGTATAGGTGTGAAGAAACTGTTGTTAATTATAGTCATTCATATGTTTAAGACCAACCTTAGAGCAGAGAGGATCTGTGTGCACCAGCGCTTCCAGGCCTGATGGATTACATTTTTTTTAATAATCATAGAATGGAAACCAGTAATTAATGAGTAAAACTTTAGCATAACCAAAAATATAGTACTTTTTCGTTCATGGTCTTGTGATTTTTCTTTGTCTTTTTCAGAAACTGCTTCAGACTTCCTGACGACATGTACTCTGTGATGAAAATGACCTGCATAACAATAAGAGATGGATGTTATTAGATGCAAATTTGCCAAATTATTCCACTAGAGGGCGCTACTTAAAATGATGGTTATTTTTTTCCCCACCCTTGCTCGGTTTTCTTTCACATCCGCCCAGTATTTGTGGAACTTGACAATGTTCAAATGCTCCAGCTGGATCAAATTGTCAAACACTGCTTTGACTTTCTCCTGCAGGAAACAAACAAACAATTCAACTGGGTAAAAACACACCATGTAAGAATTGAATTCCCTTTACCACAACACACTTGCAGTAAATGTTAGCATTCAACACCATTTATTTTTTGCAATAGAAAAAATACAAATAAAAAAAATACAAATTGATTTTAAATGTCTAAAACCATAGGGGAACAAAAAGGGTCAATTATTTATTTATGACCCAGAAAATCTCAGAATTGAACCCAAGGGTAGACTGCGAAAATGACTTTTAAGCGCTCAGAATCTCAGAAGAGACAGAAGAGGAAGTGTGTGCTGCCATTAATTGAGTCCAAAATTTGGAAAAGAAACAGCTGGAAAAACTGGGGGAATGACTTGTTCAACTACTGCATGATGTACTTTGCCTTAGGGCAAAACAAGTAGCTGCACAAAAATGGAACACAGCTGTTGTCTTTTCTGTCAGGACTATAGGTATGTGATGTGCCGTTCAACCACTTGTCCACCAGGGTCCTTGTACAACACACGGATCTGTTGCATTTGCTGCAAAAATCAACCCAACAAGACCAACAAGTTCAAAGTCACATGTCAAACAAAGGACGACAAACACCACTGCTCTGTTCACACTGTCCCCTTTTGCACCTTCTTTGTAATCATGTACTTTGTCATGGTGTTGGCAGCAACAAGTCTGACCACTCGCCTAAAGAGCTGACAGCCTGAGGTGAAACCAAAACAGTCAGAGTCTTATAGTGATCACTGTCACATAGAAAAGAAGGTTTACAACAGTCTATGGGCCGAGCCTCGTATTAAGCATTTTAAAGTTGTATGTCAGGACCTATAAATATTTTAGTGGCCCAAACGGAAGTGACATGTACCAAAGCCACAGATAGACAATACTTGATAAGAATTTCAAAAGTTTTCTTTTAAAAATAAACAGAAATATAATCAAAGAGAAAACAGTAGACTGCAATACAGCAATGATTATATTTGTGAAGGAATGGCTTCACTCAAGCTCTTACATCTTAAATCGTGCTTGTTGTACTTCTGCAGTGACAAATACACCTGAAATCAATGACATCACCGGGAGACTCTGTTCCACGTGGACCGATCAAACTCTGGCAGAAACCTGTTCTTACCTCTTGTAGTTTGAAATTCTTCCTCTCTGAGAACATGACCTCATTCCACACCACCTCCACTCCTTCCTCAGTGTCCATGGCCAAGTATGCATTATCGATTCCAGGGACATTGCGCTGATTGACCTTCGCCAAGAAAACAAAATTATGCGTCAGCGATGAGCTCACCAGGGTTGTATAAATCATTTTTCTATCTCTCTGCTGATGTATCGACAGTCATAAATAAATTAACTGAGTCATAAATTTTTCTATCTCTCTGCTGATGTATCGTACAGTCATAAATAAATTAACTGAACAATGCCCTAGGAGTCATAACAGTCCATTTCTCATATTTGTTATCAATGACTTTATCTAATACCTCCCGCATACTAACAAGGAGTTATTAGCATGCTAACATGGGGAAAAAATGTTATAGAATACAGGAGGAGCAGGAGATGCAGAATTACATGCAAGACAGTGAGAAGAAACTCCTGTGATCTTGTTGACAATAAGGGGAAGAGAGAGGTGAAATTATTCAGTATTTAATCTTTGTAAAGGAAGGTAAACTATGTCACACACGTGAAAAACTTAAGATACAACAGGTTATGCCATCACCAAAAAGCAAGCATCCTGGTAGGCCATCACAGTCTCTGCAGTTGTTGTGTCTTTTGAATGTTGACGTCAGTGATGTAGAGTTGACAGGCAGTAATTACGGCACAGTTAAAGAAAAATGACTGCCTCTTTTTGTTAGTCTGTTTAAAATAAAATTGATTGTTATGCCTGTGGCTCATGTTGACAGAACACGTGGGCTTTACAACCTGTACAAGAAAACAATAGCCTTTGTCTCAAGAGAATTGTTTCGAGAAGCAACTGAACAACGCCTTGTCAGGATGAGAAAGAAAAAAGAAAAAAGAAAGCCCCAGCAGCAGCCACAGAGATGGGACAACAACTTCACACCAGACACAATATAAACATCAAAAATAAACTATGTACATATTGATGACCACAAGGATAAGATGTGGTGATGGTTTTCATGACGATTCTGAACAGCAACAGTGGCAACGAATGTAGATTTATTGTTGAAGAGAATGAAAAAAGAGAAGGTGGCAAACACTGCAGAAAATAAATCTGTAGTTTAAGTCAACACTGAGATCCAGCTAAAACAGATTATGATTTGCTCTGGTTAAAGGGGTGTTCTGGGGTCAAAGGTCACAACACAAAACATTCAGCTGTTGGAATATATTTATAACAAAACAACAGCCTGTTTAGCACTTCTACTTTATTTTTATTCTATTAAAATGTCTAAAAACTAACTAACACACAAATGCATAACCAATGTCCATGATCACATGTTGTTTGACTGAAACAATCAGTGTTTTGTATTATAATTTACTCCTACATGGATACGCAACCACAAAATCGGAATCGAAAAGTATTAAATGTAATGTAAGGAAACGTGTTATCTGCATTAAAACGTAGATGCAACCTGTAAACAAAACACGCCCTACCTCTTCTCTGCGTTTCTGCCAGCGTCCACATGGACTTTCCTCCAAAATCTCTGACTCATCCTCGCTCTCTTCCTCCTCATCCTCTGTGGCAGCAGTGGCTGGAGGCTGTGACACCATGGACACTGGGGGGGACACGGAGGATGGCGCTCCTTGAGCCGCGGGTGCCGCAGCCACAGACTCCGGCTTCGCCTCCTGGGCAGATTCCGGGGCCTGTTTGCTCTCTCCCTCAGACATTCTCTTCTCTCCTCTGTGTTGTCAGGCACGGCAGCCTGCTGTATGATTTACGGAATTAAAAAAAATGAAAATAAAAATCACATAAGCATTAACGTGGCCCCCGACCAATACATTTAAATGCTACTTAATACAAAAACTGAGCATATTTTAAACAGGCAATGGTACTTGTTAGCTGCAGCTGCTAACACATTAAGTTTGTAGAAGAAGTGAGCTAATTTAGCAATAAGGCCATAGGAACGAAGTATGACAAATATGACTAAAGGAACCGCATTAAATTATTACATACGTGTTAAAGGTGAAATATGACGATGCCAGCTCCGATGGAACAAACTCCAGTCGTGTTAAAAAAAATCCTTTTTCCGGCAGGTTTTCTAACCTCGACTGGCAGATATTCCTCCCACTTTCTCGGCGTAGTCGCAGCTATTAGCTCTTTGGCTAAAGGTGCGTTCTTAGTTAAACGACGCGACCGGACAGCTGACACCAAAACCGGCGACAATTTAGGCAACCTAAAGAATAACACCCAAAACCTGGCCTTTTAATCCACCCTTCGAATATCCTTTTCCGGATAATACACAAACTAACTCACGGGTTTCGGAGTGTCAGTAGTTTTAGCAGCTCACCGCCCCTTTTTTGCTTCTCAAGACCCCAGTTCCGTTAATGAGTCAAGCACACTATATAATAGCATTCATAATGACGCGTTTTCCGTTCACAAAAAAATAAATTATAAAAAGCAACAAAAATAAATCAAGGACTTCATATACGTATACTGCGCATAAATGACTTGAAAGCTAGGTTAACATTTAGCCAGTATGATGACGACAAGATGCAGCAGGAGGGTTTGGTGCTAAAACAGTGGCTGCAGCTAGCTGTGGCGTCTCAGCCGGGTTGCCAGATCTGCTGTTCTGTAGCCACCATTTCATGCGTATTTTAAATTGCCAAGTTAGGAGATTTTGTTTGACAATAATACTGCTCGCACTAAATTTAACTTCGAAAGACAAACGTGTTTATCTTAGCTGATTAACTTTGTTTTCATCCTATAATGTCTACAATTGTGGCATAATGTGGTTGTTGTACAGCCCTAAAGTTCAGCGATGTTTGTTTGTTTGTTTTGGTCAAATTGTTTTGACGGGGATAAGAATATAATAACAATACGTTTTTATTAAATTTTAACCATCACTCTAAAACAAAACCAAACTACATACTGTCATGTGATAACAGTGTAGTAAAATAAATCACAGAAAAGACAGGATGTCCCAAGGAAAACGTAAAAAACTGCAGACTTATGGTAATCCATTCAATAAAAAGGGCCTGAAATTAAAAATACAAGCATCCTAATAATCAATTTATTTTTAAAACTTAAATTCACGTTTATAGTAGAGGTGTTAAGACTCACAGACTCTTTGGACTCTTATGCTCTTTTATGATCTTTATATTAAATCTTAGATTCCTACTGCCAAATGTTGGTGGTGGTATTTAATAAGTAGTTGGCCTCTAAATACTAACACCACTTTTGCATGCCCTGCTGCTTTCCAGAATGTATACCTTGTGCTACATTCCTACAATATATCCTATATCAGAATATTATACTGTTGCACTATTCTGGTTTACACAATGCCAAAAATGAGTCATTTCCATGAACATGTACCGTTCTTTTCTGTTTCTGCTTCTTTGATTGGTTGGTTTAATGGAAGTTGGCAGCCATTTTCTGCATCACTGCCTGGTGCTAGGTTTTTGTTTAAACATATCTTTTCCCTGTCTTTTCTCCTCAACTTCCTGCTGGCCTCACATGGCTCCATATCCTTCTCTTTGTCTGTGTTTTTCTCATCCCTTTATCCTTTTATCCTTGTATCCTATCATTATGTCTTCTTCAAAATTCTAATCTTTAGAATTTTTGTTTTGTTTTAACCGACCGGATGACTGGGCAAACTGAAGGCTTTTAATTAGCACATTCTGCTACATCTAAAGGTTTTATAATAAACACATTTCTATTATTTTCCACAAGGCGTCAATGTATTACTTTAAATATTTGTTGTCCATAAAAGTCTAAGCAATTCCAGTCATACAAGCACAATAAATGTTAGCGTTTTACTGCTAAGGTTTTGCTTTCATTTTTTTTCAAGAGCCCAGATCTATATAAAAAAATAGTGTAAAATAAGACATTCATAAAATGTAAAGTAAAAAGACACAGTATAAAGGAATGAATTTAGCAGCAAGGAAATATAAATATTGCACAGTTCATTCACTTTGACTTTTTTTAACACCCTGGTCAAAACTGGTGCTTTCTTCACTACTTCATTTATTGAACGTATATTTTTCAGACATGTATTGTGAGTAGTGCTCAGTACTCTGGGCTGGTGCAGGGTCAGGGTTTCTCTCTGAGGAGACCCCCCCCTCCCCTTCTTTTAGGAGGTCTATATTTAGTCCCAGGGACCCAACAGTGACTGGGTGAGTTGTGACTGGAGAGAAGGTGCATGTGTGGTTGGTGGGTGACTGTCCATGAGCAGAGACTGTACTTATAAAAAGGAACTAAAAGTCATCACTTCGTCTTGGAGGAGGGCACAGGAAGTGGCACTGAGCTGTTTTGAAAGTTTTTTTTCTGCCTTTCTGCGAATAAGGAAGGGGTGAACGTAAGAAGCTGCAATCTGGGAGAGGAACAACGAACAGACAACGAAGCATGGAAGACAAACAACACAATGGACGAGTGCCTGTCGTGGAGGACATGAAGGTGAAAGTGCTTCGTGGAAGTGAAGCTTCGTTCGACTCTGAGGAGAAGTCAGATTATCCTCCATCTGGGGCCAACTCCATCTACACCGCCATCCTGAGCAGAAATGAGGCCGTCAAAGACGCCAAACGCCTCAAGACCTTCCTGGAGCTGCGGGACAAGTACGTGAAGAAGAATGTTATATTTGAGGACCCTCTGTTTCCTGCCAACGACTCCTCGCTCTTCTATAGTCACAAACCGGCCATGAAGTTTGAGTGGAAGCGTCCCACGGTAAGTCCCCTCTAATGTCTCAAGGAGTTGGACTTACTGACGAGCTCTGCTAAAGAAAATCCCTGTTTCACATCACTCACTCACTGCACATGAGTGGAGGTGTCAGGTTGGAGGGGCTGAGTGGCCGCGGGTGCATAACTCCAAGTTATCACCTTCTACCATCACCAAACAGCTGACACAAGAACACTCCCTGCCACGACCGGGAAACAGAGTAATGACCCGGAGTGGTTCAAACACATGAGTGTCCAGAGAGTGAAGAACCAACAGTTCTGGAACTCTTCACTGACCTGGAGTGTGTCCCTGTATTCACAGAAGCAGGAAAACACACAGATATAGACATAGAAACTGACACATGTGTGGACTGAAGCCAAGGGTTATGTTTGGTCAGAGTCATATCATAAAGTATCACCTTCATAACCTCATATATACCTGTTAATGGGAGTATGTGTATTTATATTACACCCGTAGAAGCAGTAGTACACGGAGGTTAACGTGCTGGGCCACACTCCAGTTCCTGGATGTGGTTCCTGACTCAGGTGGTTTGAAATGTATCGATTACGAATACTATTTCAAGAGCATGAAATTATTTCTTCCCTGTAAATTTCCTCATTTTAATAACATGATGTTTGATATTATTTTCCAAAATAGACTACCATAACTCCAAACAAGATTTACTACTGAAGCAGGAGTTCTTGTTCTTGGCCAAAAACATCAAATATTTACACATGCACTTCAAATCATGACACAATGTAGTACAACGTAGTAACTGCACTGAACACTGCAGGTGATTTAGTGCAGTTCAGTGGAGTGTTTTTGCCAGAGTGGTTTCAAACATTCAGATGAGATCAGTGACACATGAATCCGTCCAGAGGTCAACTGCAGTGTCCACTCTGAATACAGATTATGAGGCTGCATTTTACAGCATTCCTTATGGTCGGCTGTGTGATGATGACGATCACAGGCTTAATTAAATAATTAATTAAAAACACTGGATTTAAGATAAGCCAGATTTAAATGTAGCTGATGTCTTTATGCTCCATAAGAGCTAATTCATGAACCCAGTTATTTTTTAAAAAAGGAAAAGATCAGTTGACAAATTTCGTTTCAGTAATCGGTGACTAATCCTGTCACATGGAATGGTTTTCATGACAACAACCGTGTCCCAGCTTAAACTTATCCCCACTGACAGCTGCATGATTTGTAGCGTTGAGTTCCAGCCTCGGACTGAAGCCGTCAACCTAGCTGCCATGACAGGGACATGCATTTATGAGGTGAGGGCTTCGCTGTATTCTGCACAGCATTAGCACTTATTCAGATGGTCAGTAAAGTCTTGACCCCGTGACCCCCAACAGCTGACTGTTTATAAATATGCAGTGAATGAAAGTGATGCTCCCTGCTGCCAGATACTGCACCGCCTGGGAATTTTCTCGAACTCATTTCCAGTTTCAGGGTCAAGCTCTGTAATTATTAATCATGTCCAGTGTAGATGTTGTGAGAGATGGTTTGAAATTTAAAGATGTATATTTGTATTATATTTTTTTAAACAGATATCTCCCTCAATATTTCTCTGAATAAGTAAAAACCTTAGACTCACTTTGTTTTGTGACAGGAAATCTGTGATAACCCTCACTTCATCATCGACGGAGCAAACAGAACTGACATCTGTCAAGGAGAATTAGGTAACGATCTACATTTTCTTGGCTACCTGTTCTCTTCCTTCCACATTTGATTACTTGGATAATTGTTTTCATTTAAAAAAAAATTGTGGCGTTTTATGTCCAGGTGACTGCTGGCTGCTCGCCGCCATCGCTTGTCTGACACTGAACGAGAAGCTTCTGTACAGAGTGATTCCTAAAGATCAGAGCTTCACTGAGAACTATGCTGGCATTTTCCACTTCCAGGTGTTACACTGTGATTCATTAAATATGAAATAGTAAAAACTCTGTATCTTCAGGACAGAGTCTGTCTATCTCCTAAAAGAAAGTAGCAAAAAAAATCAGCCAAAATTAATTTGAAAAAAAAGTGAACTGAGGTTAGCTATGAAGATGGTGAAAAAGATAGAGAAAGGCGCGGAGATAAATATGGTTTTGACATCAACCAAAGCTGGCTAAAGGCTGGATTTGTCAAACGTAGTCTATTTGGTTTGTTCCTCAGCTCCAAGTAAAACAAAAATAAATCACAAAGTCAATTTTCTAAATAAATAACAGTTTTTGTCTCAATATCAATGTATTCCTTCCTTCCCTTCTTATATACATTTTCCTACTTTGACCTCATTCTTCTTTTCAGTTCTGGCGTTACGGTGAATGGGTGGACGTGCTTGTGGACGACCGTCTCCCCACCTGCAACAACCGCCTGGTGTTCACCAAGTCGTTCAGAAAGAACGAGTACTGGAGCGCACTTTTGGAGAAGGCCTATGCGAAGTAAACAGAGTGTGTGCAGCCTCGCTGCAGCGCCACCACTCATGTGACACCATTTTATTCCCACGTTCTGGCTCACATTTTGCACACTGGAAAATGCCTGAATGTGGAGTGAAAGCTGAAAAAAAAATTATTGTTTTAAAAGTTAAGTGGAAATAACATCAGACATCTTGATTTGACATCATGTGTCATGGAAGATGAACTCCTCATAAAACAGCTGATCTATGACCTTATTATAAAATGATCACAGAGGTCAAATGGTCAGACGTATTTTAAGAACTTAAAAAAAAAAGTCTCATGAAAGTGATAGTACAGACTGGTAGTCAGTGTTTCAGCCAGGAAACACTGACTCCAGGACGCTTACTTTTACCTCAGAGGCTAAAAACTGCAGCATATCAGTCTCCTGAAATCCCACACCAAAGAAAGAGAACTGCTTTTTAAAACCGATATTGAGAACTGAGAACTTTCTGCTTCCAAAAACCAAAACCGATAACCAACCTGGAGATGAGATACATCATGACATCAATACTGTAAACAACACTAGATACAGTTTTGACTCTTTAAACAAGATATATATTTTTAACAATTGAAAAATTATAAGCAACTATTTGATATTTCAAATGAATATCTATCGAAATAATGTGCATTCCTTATTGATAAAAAATAAAGGTCTTTTAAATAAAAGACCTAGTGTAGAAATATAGCAGAAATATAACTTTATTAGAAAGTACCATCTTGGAGCCTTTTTCAAAGTAACTATACCTGTATATGGGTATAATAATACCCAGACCTTTAAAGTAAACGTCACGGCCTATTTATGAAGAACACACACCTCTGTCACCGTGTCTCAGGCTGCACGGCTCGTACGAGGCTCTGAAAGGAGGGAATGCCTTGGAAGCCATGGAGGACTTCACGGGCGGGGTCACAGAGTTCTTCGATTTGGACGAGGCGCCCAAGGAGCTCTACAGCATCATGAGGAAGGGGCTGCAGAGGGGCTCGCTGATGGGCTGCGCCATAGACGTGAGTGATGGACAGATGGACAACTAAAGTTCACGGGAAAAACAATGTCAGAGTCTCTACGCAGGGCTGGCAAGTGGCATAGCCACTAGAGGGCGCCATCTATACAAAGGGCACCAAAAATGAGGGAAGGAAAAGTGTTATTTTCACTATTCATATTCAAAAACTATTATTGATTATTAAGAAATGTTCTTTGGTGCGAAAGTCAGTGTCGTAGAGGTTGATGGTGACAGGGGGCAGTGTTGCACAAGTTACGCAGCTCTCCGCTGTTGCCACGGTAACAAAGTAGCAGTGAATCAAATAAAAACCTGGGGTTAACCTGTGATTAACTTATCTTTTGATTTTATTGTTTTCACAGTCTACATATTTGTGTTAAACCATTTCCTGTCTGACGTGTTGTCACTTCATCTCAGGTCACTTCAGCCAGTGAAATGGAAAGTCGGACTCAGCAGGGCCTGATCAGAGGCCACGCCTACTCTATCATTGGCCTGGAGGAGGTAGAGTCAAATGTTCTGTCTATTTGAATTCAGAACGAGTTGTTTTTCTGTGACATAGTGATGATTCACGTCTGCCCACCGTCCCTCCAGTGTGATCAGGTCGCCAAGGACACTAAAATACGCCTGATTCGCCTGCGTAATCCCTGGGGCCGAGTGCTGTGGAAGGGCCCGTGGAACGCAACGTAAGATGACAATGATTTGAAATATTCATACTTATCAAATACAAATAGCCATTTGGTACAGAAACAAGCCCAGGAAGTTAGGGTGCCACGGTTAGTCGACACAATCGACAATTAAAATAGTCGGTACTGCTGGTCAAAACACAAAACAAAATGAGTTAATCTAGTGAAAAATAGAAATTAAAACATGTAGAGGCTCCATGGTGAGTTCACAGAACTGATTCTGATCAGAACTGACCCAGATGTACAATGCCCAAAATAAGCTTCTTGGATGAAACTAAACTTCTGGGGTTTTTTTAAAAGTATTTTGACTATGAGTAACTACAAATACACAGAACGTGAACTTGGACTATGAGTAACTACAAATACACAGAATGTAAACTTTTTTTTTTACTAATGTGCTCCTGTGTCTCTGTAGGTCTAACGAGTGGTCGACCATTTCTATCGCAGACAAGGAAAACTTAAAAAAACAAACCGTGGAATCCAGTGAGTTCTGGTGAGTTAAACCACCGTAACCTCTGCCTTACTGCACAATGACGATCAAGAACGGGTGAGTTAAACCACCGTAACCTCTGCCCAATGACGATCAAGAACATTCCAATCTAAGTCATCGTTCAAAAAGGAAGAACTTGTTCTCAGGAAAAGAAAGTTGTTCTCCCCTGAGCTTCCTCTTTCGTGTTCCCCTGAAGGATGTCTTTCACAGATTTCAAGAGGAACTTCACCAAGCTGGAGATGTGTAATCTGACCCCCGACACGCTGCAGGGTGATGAAAGACAGAGCTGGACTGTGTCGGTCAACGAGGGCCGCTGGGTGAGGGGCAGCTCTGCTGGAGGCTGCAGGAACTTCCCAGGTTGGACTCCTCGAGGAGCCGAGCAGCGACAGTCGTTTCAGGGTCTCCAACGGCAAACATTTAGTTTTCATTTGCTTTTTCCAGACACGTTCTGGACCAACCCCCAGTACCGACTGCAGCTGTACGAGGAGGACGACGAACCCGAGGAGAAACAGGCGAGCTGCACGGTGGTCGTGGCTCTGATGCAAAAGGGTCGACGGAAGCAGCGCCATCAAGGGGCCGTGTTCCTAACCATTGGGTTTTCTATCTACGAGGTAGTTCTGAGCAGAGCAAAGATTTCCTGTGGGAGCAGTACTCCTAATGCGTGTAGTTTGGAGTAAAAAACTATTCTTCTGTGTCTCTGCAGGTGGACGAGGAGGTATGACCGTGGTGCAGAAGATTATTACTTTGATAAAGTCAGTCCTTTACACTTGTAGTACCCCACAGCCAGTAGGTTATATTGAAACCTTGTGTCATGAGTTGAAATATTTGACAGAGCTCATTGACATTATCATCCTCAGAAAAGCAAAACCTTGAACATTAATTAAAATGCATTAAATGTCTGTATTTGTATTATATGCAGACAATTAAGTGCAGTAAATGTGTCCACTTCCCAGATCCTCCATTTCGACAGTCTCTGTATTTCCTCTTCCGTCCACAGATGCGAGGGAAGAACCAACACCTACAGAAGGACTTCTTCCTCTACACAGCCTCCAAAGCTAAATGTAAAACCTACATTAATCTGCGGGAGGTGACGGAACGATTCTGTCTGCCTCCGGGGGAGTACGTCATCATCCCGACGACCTTTGAACCCCATGAGGAGGGCGAGTACATCCTCAGGGTCTTCTCTGAGAAGAACATCTCGTCAGAGTGAGTATCTCTGAGATGTTTTCATCGGCAACACAGTAAAACTGGAGCAAAGGCTTCGAGGACGGAGCAGGTTTTGATGCACGGAATGTTCTTTTCTACAACAGGGAAGTGGAGAACACGATCGAGGCCGGACAAATACAGGTCAGAAACTGGGTTAAAGAAACTGAAGTATTCTCAGAAGTTTTTTCACGAGTACTGCAGTGTTGAAATAACTCAGTACACAGATGGACACAGTCAGGACGACAGTTATCTTTATGTTGAACAGCAGGAACTTACTGACGAATTCTGTGAATCTTTTGTAAAATGACTTGAGGATGAAAACGAAAACACCGTGAATTCCTAAACTATGACTCTCTGCCCACTGTGTACGACGACACCGCAGTACGAGTGGAAGTCCGGTCACATGACCACTGCCCTGTAAACCACCTGTCTTTTCACCTGTTACTGAGTGTCACTAACAGACTTGACTGTCCAAGTGTACTTTCCTCCTCCTCCTCATCTCATTTCATCCTCCTGTCCTTCCTTTCCTTGACCACCAGCAAGACAAGATACAGAAGGAAAAGGTAATGCAAACATGTTAGCATGTTCTGCATGACTTTCTCTCACCCCCCCCTCCCCCCCGACCCCCTCTGCTCCTCTACGTCATACTTTATCAATGCTACCAGCTGACAGCAGTGGAAGTACTGCAGTATATATTAATTTTCTTTTTCTCTCTTCTGTCTGTCCTTTCTAACTCCCTCCTTTCGTCTCTCCCTGCACCAACATTATCCACATGGCAGCCTATTGTGTTTGTGTCAGACAGAGCACGGGCCAACAAAGAGATCGCACACGACGGCATCTGGGGAGACATCAAGAAGAAACCCAAGGTAAAAGCTACATGTGTTTCATTATTTGTGCAGCAGCAACGCTGAGGTCACTCTACAAATGTGTCTCTTGACCTTTGCTCAGTCGCATCACTACTGCCCCCTTGAGACAGATGAGTATGTAATGAATCCTGACCAGATCAAATGACCAGAATAATGGCAGGAGCTTTAAAGCCAAATGATATTAAGTTGCGTGGCTGCACCTGTTTTCTCAAGAGGCTTCATTATGTTAGAGTTGTTTATACAGCGTGTTAACCTCAGGTGCTGCCCTCCAGTGGATTAGTAGGGAATGTACAAAGGACTAATAAAGTCATCCGTCATGAAGACAATTTAATCTCTTGGAATTAAAAAAAAAAAACATATACTTGCTAATTTCTCCCAACTATTGTACTCACTAGGGGGCGCTGTGAATAGGTAAACTACAAAATACGTCCATGTGATGAACTGTAGGTGTACATAATAATCATAATGAAATGTTTTTAGATACAAATTGAAATATAGTTTTTGGCCTAAGAAGAAAAAGCTTTTCTATGTTTACGTTTTTGTTGTTTAAAAGCTTTTTTTATTTTTGCATATCCATGCCCTCCAAAATATGTCTGCTCTGGAAGAAAAAAAACTCCTCTGTCCTTATAGTTTTGTATCAGCAGATGATGTTTCGTAAATCTAGAATTATACCCCCCCCCCATCTGTTGTGTTTTCTAATAAAATACCCCCCCCCAAAAAAAAACCATCTGTTGTGTTTTCTAATAAAAATTAAAACAAAAACAATGCACATCTGCAGAGAAAACTATTTGAACCAGAAGAGGAGACTGATGAGGAGAAACAGTTCAGAGCCATTTACCAACAGATTTCTGGTGAGGTGAGTATTAAAGTAACGGTCAGGGCATCACTGTGTCTTTGTCGTTTGTTTGTTTTTTTCCCAAACTGACAACAAATGTTCTGTTTACAACAGGACATGCAGATTTGTGCCAATGAACTTAGAAGAATCATGAAGAACGTTCTGGCCAAGCGTGAGTAGGACAAGGATCGCTGAGGCACTCGAGCGGTGTACGGTTACACACATTAAAACCAGTTGATTCTTGTTCACAGACAGTCAGATTAAGACCAAAGATGGCTTCAGCCTGGAGACATGTCGGAGTATGATCGCACTGATGGACGTATCCTCAATCAACAAGAACATTTCTCGTTTTTATAAATAAGAATGTACTCTGTTACAGATGGAGCTGCATTAATAATTACTTTTTAAAAATGTTTTTTCCTATACGTCAACTTCATTCAGACTGACGGATCAGGAAAGCTGAACTTTGAGGAATTTAAGCATTTGTGGAAAAAGATCAAGCAGTGGCAGGTGATGAGAGCCCACTGTCTGTCAGTCAGTCAGCTCAGCTCATGATGAGAGCCCACTGTCAGTCAGTCAGCTCAGCTCTGCTCTGCCGGCTTCCACCTAACTGTCAATCTGTCTGCGTTTGCAGCTGATCTTCACACGTTACGACAAAGACAAATCTAGTTCCATCAGTAGTTTTGAGATGAGAAACATCGTAAACGAAGCAGGTGAGACCAAGAACTGAGCACAGAAAACACTTCTCTCCTTCAGCAACATTCCCACTGTGAGCCATTTTAATATATTCCAAAATATGTGTCAAGACAAACATAAGCACTTTGTGAGATTCAGTCTGAAACAGATTGTTGCAGCACACCTGTATGAACACGTGACAGTGAAGTCAGTACATATTTTTGTCCTTCGCCTCAGCGTCCACCTGTTATAAACTGAAACCTCTGGATTGGTGTCCCTCTCCACGCAGGCTTTCACCTGAACAAACAGCTGTATGACATCATAGCCATGCGTTACGCAGACGAACACCTCAACATTGACTTCGACAGTTACATCTGCTGCTTTGTGAGGCTGGAGGGCATGTTCAGTAAGTAACACAACATGTGATCGTATACAACATATACACATGTATATGTATATACATGTATATATATATATTCATGTATACTGTATATATTTACCACTGTCACTGTATGTAAACAGAGATCTTTTTGGTTTACATCATACATTCTCTCTCTCCATCTAGTAATTTTATCACATACAGTATATAAACATATATGTACATACATACCCTCCCGACTACCAAGAAACAAATATTGTCCAATCACACTTAAAAAAAAAAAAATCCCAGCTCCTTGAAGGGTACCAAAGCACCCGCCCCTTCACAGCCCTAAATGTCCTCTGTAGCAACAGGGTGTAGTAGTAAGTGGTAGTAGTCACAAGGATATATACATACATGCAGTACTCTATGATGTCACTGTGTTTCTCCTGCAGGAGCCTTTAATGCCTTTGATAAAGACGGCGATGGAATCATCAAACTCAATGTCCTGGAGGTGAGTCCATTTTTTTTTATCCCTGCTGCTGAAAACAAGCATCATCAACATTTCTTGTTTAAAATCGACCTTTCTTCTCTTCACAGTGGCTCCAGTTGACTATGTACTCTTAATATAACTTTTCTGCCACCGGGTGTCGCTGCAGTCAGACGTTTTTGAAAGCAGCAGAATAGTGAAAGATCGTTTTTTTTTTGCCTCAAACTTGCGCCATGTGTTGATGTGGAAAGGCACTGACTCTGAGTGAACATGAGCATTCAGTTTGACAAGACCTTACATCGATGAAATAATTGTAAATAAACAAGGACAACCGTTGTTAAAGTAACTGCAGCATGATATCGTTTGAAATGTGACAGTTAGTGTTGTAATATAAGCAGGTTCTGATGAGACCTGATGAATAAACTCTCTGTGCATGGCTTCACATATTAAGGCTGTGATAAGAGACCTCCTCCTCCATCTTGAGGTCAAACCACTAATAGCAACAAACTTAACTAGGGGCAAAACTGTTAAGGCGACATGCTGGCGAACGGAGGCACAGAACGGCGTCAGACACACCGGCGAACATCGCATGTGTTGTTGTCTTCTCACGATCAGGTATCATCACTTCAGTGCTTCAAACAGAAACTGTGTCCATAATTCTGTGAACTAATTCAGCTTTGAAAAAAAAAAAATCACCAAAATAAAGATAGTCCTCCATTCTCTGGAACACTTTACCTATGCTCTGAGCAATTAGCCTTGCTGTCCTCCACGTGGCTGAACATGTGAGCCGGCAGATCCTGGAGGAAGAAGGAAGAACAGACAGGGAGCAAAGTGTTAGCACAGCAGTGTAGCCGGCTACAAACACACACACACACACAGAGAGAACCACAGATGAGTTCACAGTGGCAGCTCTGGTTCAGTGCACCATGGGAGTTCCCCCATCAGTACAGGCCTGTGCAGCATAGGTGAGTTATGAGTCAGGTTTGATTGAACTAAAGGAGACGCTCATCACCTGCTGGATTGACTGCTGACTTGGGAAGAAAGCGTTACAGTCCAACCAGCAGCATTTGACCGTCTGCAGACTCCTACTGGTGTGACCTCGGACAAGATGCTCGGTCAGATGTTCTGGTACACCGAAAATCAGGGAGCAGCCCTGCCACTGGACAAGGGACGTACAGATGTTAGAACATGAAAGAACATGGACAGAACTATGAAAGACGTTTGTCCTCACCCAGCAGCGGTAGTTTTTCCTCAGGTCCAGCTGGACTGACTGGATACTGCCATCATAACAGCCCGTGTACATCTGCACCACAATGACAGACTGGTTCAGGTACACCACTCACCAACACTCAAATATAAAGATGTCCAAGACACTTACTACACTCCTGTAGACGGTCAAACACAACGCCATGTCACTGTGACCACCGTACACCTGCAGGCAGTCACTGGACTAATGGAGGGGGGAAAATAGAGAAAAGGTCTCATTTAAAATTACAACCAAAGCACAAAGATCCCTTTGAACCAGGGCTCTCCTACTCCTCATGCTGTGTTACATTTAATTTCATTACTCACTTTGAAGATTATTAATATATATATATATATATATATATATATATATATATACACACTTTAAATAATATAAATACTTAATCAAAGTGGACAAAATATTCTGTGTTCAGTCTGTTACAGTTACAGTAACTTGGTGTAGACCCACGTCAGTACCTGCAGATTGAAGACCCTGACCAGTCCGTCCAGACAGGCTGTGACCATCACAGTACCCAGGACGACGATGGAGGTCACGGCGCTTTTGTGACCTCTGTAGGTTGTCAGCAGATCACCAGTCTGTGAGAAACAAAAGAAATGATACCAAAGCAGAAACAGCACGACCATAAAAACATCCCATGAGGCATTACTCGACATCTGACCATCACTTTATCATACATTCATCCTACATAACTTTGAACTTTTGTGTCACTTACGTGAACATTGTGAGTGTGAACTGCCGTGTCACTTGACCCACTGAAAATCAGGTCTTTCGCCACCTGGAAAAAAAAGAAGAACATTTCTGATGTGTCTTTTGTTTATCTGTTAACGACTGTTGCTGAAAGTTTCAGAAATTATAACAAATACAGAACAGTTTTTTTAGCTCTGATCATATCCACTCCCTCACCGTCAGACACAGCACAGTTTTGCTGTGGCCCTTCAGTGAACGCAGCAGGAGAGCGCTCTTTGCATCCCGGACACTGATGGTGCTGTCGTAGGAGCCGACCAGCAGGAGGCGGCGTGCGCCCTCTTGCGCCGTTCCCAAGCAGCTCACACCACGTGGACCGTGGCAATCAAAAACACTGAGAAGTTTCTGAGTCTGAGGGAGGAAACCAATTATGATCCAAATGAAGTTTTTCAGGAAATGACATTTTTTATGTCAGGATTTATTTTCAATCATAAAACATTATTCTTCATTTTAGAACACACACAAAGAATTACTAAATATGAACCTATTTTTGTTTGTCTCTAATCAAAACTTTGAAGACGAGGTCCAGGACTGGACTCTGGATTCTGTCTAATGACTTGGTTTAACTCACCTTCAGGTCAAAGGTGGTGACAGCACCGCTGGCCAATCCAACGTAGAGAATGTTCCAGGCTACGTGCAAACACAAGACCCTGTCTGGGACTGAGATCTTCTCCAAACACTTCTTAGACTAGATACGAAAACACAGAACTAAGACACAGAGAGGTGACAGAGGGACGACCAAACGGTTCACCACAGGGTTTTCTGCACCTTTATGCTGTAACAGCGAATGGTTTGGTCACTTGATCCTGTGTAGAGACGAACAGGCGTGTTGGGGAGAGACGACACCAGCAGGCAGTTGACTTTGTCTGTGTGTCCGTCAAACACAGCTGCGAGCTCCCTGGTCTGAAGACGAAGAGGAGAAGGAAGCGTGGTCACAACCACACAAACTCATCCAAAGACATCATTTGGTCCTGGGTAAATGTATGAACCGTTTCTGTTTCAGACCCACTCACCTTCAGACAGTGCGCTCGTGCTGTGTTATCCTCTGAACAGGTGTACAGTAGACCTCCGTGGACCTGCAGTCCATGCACAGAACCAGCATGACTCTGGAAGGTTCCAAGTGACAGTTCCACATCCTCAACAAAGTCTAAGAGGTGACAGATAAAGAAGCTTCAAGATTTTGTTTTCAATTAATGTGTAATCTTTACACATGCACAAGGGGGCGGGGCTTACCCACAGGAATCACTTCATCTTTGCACGCCAGAGAAACTTGAGTTTTACTGAAATATGAAAGCAATGTCAATATGAGAGCATAAGAGCATGAATTTCAAAGTAAGAGCTCAGAGGTCAGATCCTTTCATTTTAGATTGAAATTAAGTTCAACACAAACATCCAACATGAGACCAAAACACAAACACTGTCACCTGTCAACAGCGACCTGCTGGACCGTCTGTGTGCCGGCAGAACTTGACTCCCCGACCACATCGTTCTGAAGAGGTTCTACGTGAACTGGATCGTCAGCTCCCAGATCAGTATCTGAATCATCGATGTCTATGACTGTTCCCTTAGAAGGCTCTATAATTTTGACAGAGTCATCGCTGTCTTTGCCGCCATCACTGCTGTCACCAGAGTCGATCAGAGTCTTATCATCGATTGTGACCACAGCAGACACAGTTTGGTCTCTGTCTCCTGAAATCTTCTCTCTTCCTGAAGTTTTATCCTGATTTCCTTTCATCTCAACCTCGCTGTAGCTTAACGTTGACCACCGATCTTCTGTTACGTCATTGACTACCCCTACACTAACACGGTCAACCGTCTCCTGCGACTTGGAGGAGGATTCACAATCAATCTTGACCGATGATGAGGTAGAAGTAGACACAGCTACTGAGCAGCTCAGGTCAGGGGTCACGGGTTGGTTCGAAGGTACTTGAGTTGAATCAGAGGTTGAGGAGAAGAACTGTGTGGCAGCAGGTGGAGAACAGCGTTCCTGTTTCATCTTCACGGCCGCTGCAGACGGTGCGGCGACTTTCAGGTCAACACTGGACGCTCCACAGTAGCCCTCTGATTGAGACAATGTTTTAAATCAATATTATCTATAATCAACATTATTTACTCTTTTGAACGTTAGTATTTTCATTCCTACCTTGCATCATCTGCAGGATCTCAATGCGTTTCGCCCTCAGGTTGTTGACCTCAGCAGTGAACTGAAACAAACAGAGAAGCTCTTCATTTGAACCTGGGAACAGTTCATGAAACACGTCGGTGCTACTACCTGATGTCTCATCAACATGAGTCTTTGGACCTCAGTGTAAGCGGCTGTCAGGACGTTGCGAGCCTGGATCAGGGATTGGTCCAAAACATGAAGCGAACGACTCAGCTCATCCTCCCGTACAGACACGGTCAACAGCTCTCCCACCTGAGTCTGGTCTGTGGGAGGTCATCAGTTAGGATTGGTGCCACTGCAGTCATGTGACTCGCATAACAAATCTTTGGTTTATAGAAAACAAAACTGCCTCCAGAGTGATACTGCACTACAGTAGTATAAAATTACACAGAATAACTGAGGCAGCGCGCCTTGACCTAATGTGATCAGTGCATCTTGGCTTAATTAGTTACACATATGTCGAGCCAGGATGAAAAGGCTGCAGCTATCGCTCACAGAACCACCGATCGGAAAATGGATATCAGTCGCACTTCTTACTTCACGGCCGTTGAACAACAGCTGCTTACCTTTTTTGTCTGTGTTTGATTTTACTTTACTTCTTTTTCCTCTCAGCTTTTCGTCACAGAGGTCTTCATCCTACAGAAGAAAATACACAGGAATATTAAAAACACAAACATCCCACAATAAAGACAGAGAATTTCCAAAAGAATCCTAAATTCTTACCGTACTGTGTTTCCGCTTTTTGACGACCGTAGGTTCTCTCAGGAGTCCACTGTCTTTCTGCGGGGGCAGCTCTACTTGGACAGAGACTGTGGTCACTGGGAGGCAGCCCCCACCCTGATGCCCCGTAGAACACTGCGGCTGCCAGGACTCCACCCGTGTTTCTGCGTGGAGGGCAGCATCCATGGTGTAGCTCTGTTCAGGTGGTGAAGACGACCGTGTCTCCGCAGGACTGTACGGGACTGAGTCCCAGTGGAATCCCTCCGACAGGGGCAGGTCACCCTGCAGTGGTTGTTCTGAGATCCTGTGGTCAGCTGAATGATTTGTCAGCTGGGTGCCAACCCTGTAGAGACACACAGCAGCATGTGTCATACACACTAACACTAGTGGTGCATTTATAGTCATACCTGGGACATCTGCTGGACATTTCCTGCTTGTTTCTTCTGAGGTCGTTGTAAATCTCCATCCAGCTCTGCCTGGTCCTGGGGCTTGAAAAGCTGAAGCGCTTGTTCACAGTCGATTTACGAATTATCTCTTTCTTTGAGCTTGACGAGCTGAGGCGGTTGTTCACAGTCGGTTTAAGAATGATCTCTCTCCCTGGGCCTGATGAGCTGAGCAGCTTGTTGACCGTTTGTCTGAGACTGGTCTCTATCGCCGGTGGTGGATTCACTGGTTTGTGGGCAATACGTATCTTGCGTGAAGTCTTGTTGGCTGTGACTTCCTGAGGTTGTCTGTTTGCAGCCCCTGGTGTGGCCCGACTTTGCAGACATGGTTCTGCTGCTGCTGCTCGGTTGCAAACGGTCCAAAATTGCTCCGATGAAGCTTCCGGGAGTCGCTCCTTCTGCCCCTCAGTCTGTTGTCTAATGCTGCTTTGAGACGATCGAGCCCCAGGGGTGATGCTGTGTTTTCTGGCTTCTCGTTCTGCTCTACACGGCTCCCTCACTCCCAGCTCTCTTCTGATCTGCTTCAGCAGTGAAGCGACATCGTGGGATGTAGGAGCTGCATCGCTGGATCTGTTCTCTGGAGGACAATTGGGAAAAGAACTCATGTCCTTGGGCCTTGACTGGACAGATGTAGTGCGGGCTTGCCTTGAGTCATTGTGACTGTTTCCAGACAATGTCGTTTGTTTTGGTGGCCCGTCTTTGGGGCGTTTTGGATGCGTAAACTGTCTCTGTGTTTGTGAGGTCTCCACTGTGACCTTGGTGGACAGTTGGTGGACAGAGCAGTTGTCTTTATTCATCTTCTGGTGAGTAATTTTCTGTTGGGTGCAATTCTGATTCCAAGTTCTAGCAGAAAGCTGGTCTGAACCCCCCTGTTGGCTGGTAGCTTTATTCTCTTTGATTCTAACAACAACGTGAATTCCTCCTGTTTGGTGTTTTTCCAGCTTCTTCGTGTTTGTGTCCACCTGGCTGGCACAAGGTTTTTGTTGTTTGTGTTGTTTGTGTTGTTGTTGTTGTTGTTCTGGTACTGAAGTTGAAGTGTTGGCATCTTGATGTTTCTGATTCAGCTTCTTATTCTTTTTATTCTTTTTCTTAAGGACTCTGTTTCTCTCAAAGATCCTTTCGAGGACGTCAATGGGCAAAGTCTTAGCTAAAGATAAGGCTTTGGTTTTTGTAGACTTGGTGGCCTTCAACAAGTCTTGGTGTCTAGCAGTGGAGATGTGCTGGGAAAACTCAAACAAATTCAGGAATGTCATCACACACACTACGCAGTGGTGGACGGCATCCCTGTTAAAAAGAAATAAAAACAAAAAAGTGTGAATAATATATAAGTATTTTTCTCTTTTTTCCTTATAGTGGGATCTTAAGTTAATCATACATTGATGAACTACACTTTTAGAAAAAAAAAAAACTTTAGTGTCCAGCATCACTCACTTGTCTAGCATCTTCTGTAGCTCCTGGTGATGCTTTATACTATGCATATGGTCGTAAGATTCCTGCAGTTAGAGAAGAAACTTCAATTGAATCAAATTGAAATAAGGATGGTGATTAGAGTTTAAAGAAAACAAACACAGGGTGAACGCAGCTCTTCACAAATGTCCAACTTACAATTTTTAAATACATTCTCCGACACAGAGCGCAATATTCGTTGTTGTCGATTATCTTCGTTTTCTTTTTGTTCTTCTTATTGGCAGGTGTGTCGTTGACCTGTGCAGCTGTGGGCTTAGGTTCTGACATCTCCCTGAAACTACAAAATAAAAGAACAGCACTGCCTCATGAGAACAATGAAACATTAGACTGGACGCAAGTTATTGAATTAAAAAAGGTGCGAATCGAGCCTACATTTTACAAAAAAGCAGCAGCAGAACAACGTGGTCACGTTAGACTGACGTGAAGTTGACTCAACTGTTTGAATAAGTTGACATTTTTTAAATGACAGTAAATTAAATACAGCAGCAAACGCAGGGTTAGATGCAACAGGTTCAGATAATGTACATATAAAGTTACGCACAATCTGAATCGTAAATAATAATAACTACCAGGTTGGTCCGGATTCGCATGTGTACAAGTCGCCAGTGACTACTGACCCGCCATGCTTGTTATGTACGTTACGTCAAGCGAGAACGTCGCACAAGCATTGACGTCAGCTTCGTTTGGAGTAGATTTACAAAAGAAGATGGCAACACAAAAAATGTGTTTTCACGTGAAGATATTTTATAACTCTAACAAGCCACAGAGGCTGGCGGTGAATGCGGAAGTCGACGTAAAGCGGAATAAAAATAATAATAATTTGGGATTTTGCGTGAAGACGGTTTTGTTTGTCGTATATTTTATTTACAAAGGAGAGGAAAAATGTGCAATGGTTGTGTACACAAAGAGTATCCCAACCGGGTAAGATGGAATCTTAACCGATAACGTTTTTGCAAAATGTATAGCTTACTAACTTCCTCTTAGTAAACTTGCTGCTTGGAAACGAACGCTATTGAGATACGTTTAAAAAAAGCGCTACTATAAATCTTTTCATTGCTACTTTCAGAATTTTGTTTACGTCATCAATCTTCCTGTTTCATATAATGTACCGTATCGTGTGTATGAGTGCTAATCTGAAAGCTCTGGACGAGTGCGTCGTTTCCCCTTGCATTTAAAAAATATATACAATAAACATTATTATCCTACAATGGTCGTTTATGTGACCTCTTGGACCGGGATTTTCAGGCAGCGATGAACATTTGGCAACAAATTTAACTGTTGCCACAGTTAAATCCAAATCTAAATTTTCACACAGAGTAAAGGGGACAAAGATAAACGTGCTGAGCTATGCACTAGCAACTAGTACACCAAACACAACTATGATACCTTTCTAAACTTATTTAGTACATGCATACTGTGTATAAATGTCATAACACAGACTGCCGTACGATTTTCTATAAGTGAAGACAGATACGCTAAAGTAAACCTAATAGTTGCTAAATGTATGTCTGAAATGTATTTATCAGAGTTAAATGTATACTTGTAAAACAGTTCAATTACCCTGAACTTAAATCCATAGTACCTGATATTATATTATACAGAGACAGAAAAAGTTGCAAAGTTAACATCATACCTTGGTATCCACGTCTCAGTGAGAAATGTCTTTCTCGTGAATACATCCTATTTTAGATCACACACACAAAAAATACTTACTATATTTTTTATTTTCTTGCTCAGGGAAACACGTGTCTGGAGGATGGTTCCTACCTGATGAACTACCTGTGCTGTGCCAGCTGCCACCAGAGGGACTTTGTGCTGATCAGTAACAAGGCCACAGAGGATGAGGATGGAGAGGAGATCATCACATATGACCGTCAGTCTTTTTCACTTGTTTCTCACAGTACTGACACTTTGAAGCAACGACTGTGTTGTTAAAAACCACTGGTTTTTATTTGTTCTTCCAGATGTTTGTAAAAACTGTGATCACGTCATCGCAAGACATGAATATACTTTCTCTGTTGTGGATGAATATCAGGTGAGTGTTATTCGTTTCCTTTGGTCAGCAGTGTTAGAAAAGTAGTGTTTTTAAGGAAATATTCATTAATACCCAATATGTGTAGTATTCATTGAAAGTGGTTGTTGTTTTATCCAGGAGTACACAATGCTGTGTATGCTGTGTGGAAAGGCTGAGGACTCCATCAGTGTGTTACCAGACGATCCCAGACAGTCTGCGCCTCTTTTTTAATACCCCAGAAAAAAGAAACACACACACACACACACATATCAAACCTGGCCATTGCTCAATTCCTCCATCAACTAATACACACTTAGCAGTACTGCTGGCTGCCTCAGGGTTCCAACCATACATAATGTCCGTTTTAAAATTTCAACACTTTTGAATTTTTTATGCTTCTCCACAACTACTGTATTCCTATAACTGTTGGGCAGGAAGTATAGATTTTATATCAGTATTCTGTATCTTTATCATTTTATGTCTGTGCTTTGCCTTTTTTCCAATAGTCTTTTCAAAGGCAAGTTCTTGCATGCTTTAACTTTAAGTTAATGTATGTTCTACAGAACATTTTTAAAATCATATAATTCTTAACTATAAATGTGTGAAAATCTATTTTATTTGTCACAAAACTGACAAACTGAAAATTTCATTCAAAATGTCATTTTTTGTATTTGTCACAAAACTGACAAACTGAAATTTCATTTTTCATTCAAGTTTTTTATGTAAATAAAATATAACAACATACTGTCATGATGAAAATGTTCCCTTTTTAATCGGCCTGTTTAGGATGTTTTTGTGGCAAACAAAAATTAACATTATTTTGATTGTTATTGTTGTCTTTCCTTCAACGGTACATGATGTAGTGTTTTGTGAACAGATGCAGTTTCAATAAAAACAAATGCTTTAAATCATTGTACAAATGAATACAAAAAACAGATACTTGCATTGATTCTCATGCACTTGTACAATACTGAAGCATGAGTGCAAACACGTTTACATTCTAATATGCCGACGCTTGCATGACGAGTAGATTCTAGCAAAGTAAGATCACACTACAACACTGATCTGCCCACAGGAGCAGTTCATCCTTACGAGTCCTAACTGGACAGGTCTAAAGGAGTGAGGTCACTCTGGGCTCTAAGCTGATGGTCATGGAAGCTAATGCTGATTTTCTGCTTCTAGTCATGATCGCTGTTAGTGTTTCTACTGAAACTAAGTGGTTTCCTATTAGTGTATACTATTGTCCTGATGTTACAGTATCTACAGTTAGAGTCATTTGTACATCCGTCGACTATTTAACATCGTTTTGGTCTCTTCGTAGGCCTACATAGAGTGTTGGGGTTCTGGTGAGACGAGAGGTCACAGTTGGCAATCTTCATCTTTTTGAATTCATAGCAGTTCATCCAGCAAACCCTGTCAAGTTTTTTTTTTTCTCGTTTAAGACGCATCCAATAGATGAATAAATAAATAAATACAATTTATCATACATTTTACATTTACATACAGTACATTCCCTCGAGTAAATACTGTATTTACACATGCTATCAGTGGCTGCAGGTGAGGCGACCTCGCAGTCATCGACTCCCGGAACCTTTTCCTTCGTGGATCAGACGTCTCCCTCTGGCGCAGTGAACCCACTGACTCTGAATGCCAGGGCCGTCCTGCAGGTGAGCGTACCGAGGAGGAGGGGATCCGGACAAGCTAGAAGGAGAGCGGCTGCGAGCTGGCATTGCGACACCATCGCGCAGTTCCTGGCGGGACGGGGAGGAGCTGAGAGAGCGCTGCAAGGAGGAAGAGCTGCGAGGGCGGGGTGGCGGGCTGAACAGCATCCCGCTACGGTCCTGCATCAGCTGCGTCAGACTGGCCAGGAAGTCTGCGTCGCTAGTGCTGCTGGCGCGTACTCTCAGCCGCCGTCGTCTACAGGAGACAACACATGATGTCAATTCTGCAATTCATTGGCCTCATGAGCAGGAACTGTTACATTTAGTCAGTGAGAGTTGGCTGTAAAACTGGTCCTTAATATTAATCAGTCTACAGTCTAGTACTCTCTGTTCCACAACTTATAACAAATAATTAAAATATAGAAACATAAGTTTATTTATCAGAATAAATGATCTTTTAAATAATCTTTGACAAACTCCTCCACCATCAAATACCTGCTGCTCTCGCTTGGACGGATCGGTGGTTTCCCTGGTGGCGGCCGAGGCAGAAACCTGGTTGCGAGCTGCTCGGGTACAAAGGTGGCGCTCACGGGACGTGGGATCTTACTTCTACTTCCTGATGAAGAGGACAAAGACAGAGGGTCTTCTCCAACGCCCTCAGACCTGGAGCCTCGCTCTGAGGACAGCCTGTCTCTGGGCAGAGCACAGGGCAGATTGTCACAGGACAGTGAAGGAGAAGGTGAGTGGGTGGGTGAGCCGGGCACCGGGCTACTCCAGCGGTGACGCCTCTCTAAGTTCAGGTCCCTGCCCACAAAGTCCACAGGAGTGCTGGGGTCTCGGACTGGGATTCTGCTCAGTTTTGGGGACAAAGCAGAGTCTCTGCGTCTGAGCAAAGTCGGAGGTGGAGAGGAGGAAACGGTAACAGTGCTCTCCATGGCGCCTCCCACTGTGTCAGCCTGGGGCTGCTGGTTGGGGTCTAAGGAGCGGTCAGGCAGACCAGAATCACTCTCTGGGTCTCTGTCGTTGGTCAGGTGAGCAGCAGGGCCTTTGGTTGGGCTTGGTGTGTAAGCCAACTCCAGCTTCCCTCCATCTTTTATAATCTCATCTGTGAGTCTGTCAGATTTACTACAAGGAGCCTCCATTGGTATTGCATCACTTCTCTCTTGTACAGGTGACCGGAGCACACAGCTGGAGCTCTGAGAATGGAAACCTCATGTTAATGATTCACTGAAGCGTTTAAGTAAAAATGTTCATTCAAATTTTTAACTCTGATCTTAAAATGTTTTTCTCATCCGGTCTTATTTAAACCAACATGCTCTACTTTCTCGTAAATATAAACCTTGTTTTGAGTACATTTTTAAAAACATTCTGTTTCTCCTACCTGGTCCATCTGAGGTCTCCCCATGATGACAGAGGGCATCTGTCCCAGCATGCCTGGTAACCTACGGTGGCCCAGTAACCACGTGCCGGGCATGCCCATCTGGGACAGCACAGGGCTGCTCGGTGCTGCAGACGACTGACCTTCCTGTTGTTCAGATGTTTGATTCTCCGTCTCTGTGTGAGGACCGGGTTTGTCCTCCTGCTTGGTTTCTCCCAGAGCTCTGCTTCCTCCAGAACCGCTGCCTTGCTCCAGCTCCAGCATCACCCACTCCTGTGAGTCTCCCTCTTGAGGTGCGGGGCTGAGGTTTACAGCCACAAAACCGCTGCTGGCAGCACCCTCCTCAGGGTCAGGGGTTGCAGTTCCACAGTTGTCTTCCTTGCAGGAAGGCATCTGCTGCCCAGCTCCTCTCTCTGAGATGGGTTTCTCTCCAACTTGAGAAAGGACTGGACGCTGTTTACCCAGGCTGGAATAAGAAGTCATTGATATTAAAGAAAAACTTTGCTGACTTCTTGTTTTTTTTATTAATTTTTTTAAAAACTGAATGTACTAACTAGGCTTCAAGGAAGCGTTCGATAGTGGGCTTGGGTTCAGGTGCAAGTCTCTTTTCGAAGGCTAAGCTCTGACTGTGTCTCATCCTCCGGAGCAGGGGCGCGGCCCGATCCAAGAACATGGTTTCTGATCTCACTCTTCTAGGAGAACTCTGCACAGAGCCAGTGTTGGGACTCTGGTTCCCCTGGTTCTGGCTGTGTTCATCCTCACTCACCACCTGAGGAAAATGCAAAAAAAAAAAAACTGCTGTATTTCTTTCACTGGTAAACTGCATATATAAATACCATCATTCAAAATAAATCTCTGAAATATTTTCTCTGTCAAACTATTAATAAAATGTGTTATACTAATAAAGTACATGTCTTAAATGTCCTAATGTAAAAGGATTATCATGAGAAGGAAAATCAGATAATTGGACCAAAGCCACAGGAAGTATGGACAAAAATGATTCTTGCCAAAACTGAAGCTGTTACTAACCTCTGTTGCCAAATGACCTTAAAATGTCATTATAACGAAAGAGGATGTGACTGAGTTTAACAGATTTTTCTGTCAAAAATGTTCTTAGACTATTTGTCCCTTGTCTGATTATAGTCTAAAAAGTATTTTTTAAAATTCTGAATATAGTCTAAAAAGTATTTTTTTTAAATAATAATAATATATAACATTTCTGATTTGTGGCTGTTACTGCAGCTCAAGGTCAGATGGAACTAGGTCTTCTCTTTTAGGAACAAGTATTTAATAATAATATATAACATTTCTGATTTTTGGCTGTTACTGCATTTTTCAAAAGTGCCTTTTTTTTGCTTAACTAAGCTCAAGGTCAGATGGAACTAGGAACGTCGTCTTGATTGGTAGATTTATACTGTGATCAACTTACGGCTCCCGTTGCACTGACCTTCCTTGTGACCTGCTGGGCTTGTTTATGGTTTCGGTTGCGGTCCATCTCTTCCCATACATCTCCACCAGGGGTGGTGGGAGTGGGGATGGGGGGGCAATTGTCTGCATCACTGAGACGCTCTCCTTGTAGGACATCCTCCGTGTTCTCCCTCTGCAGCTCGCCAGGCAGCACCGAGGCATTAGCCATGCTGTTAAAAAGAGAGAGAAAGAGAGAGAGAGAGAGAGAGAGAGAGGTCACATTGAGCCGTGTTTTTAGAAGAGCCCATTTAAAGCAGTGATTTCTCAGTGACTGCTGACTGCACACACTTCTAATACAAAACACAAACAGACATAAAACAACTACAATAGTGTGGTTTGTATCACCACATGTCTAACAGTGTGTGACCATGGTTAACATAACAATAAGATCAAGGCCTCTCAAAGGCAGCTATATAGCTACATATTTAATAGGTCTGTTGAACTGCAGGCACCCTAGGTATGCTGGCGTGAGGCGAGTGAGCTGCTGAGCGGTGTTCGCCGCAGCAGTGATGCTCAGCATATCCTCAGGATCGCACTTCTCCCAGTCGTAGGAGTCATTCTCGAGCACGTTATGACTCTTCATTGCTTTGTCGAACACTGACATCAGCAGCTGTCAATCAGAAAAACAGGAAACATTATGAACATGAATATTTAACAACTGAAGGGGAACAACACGAAAAGCCTAAGTAACAGCACTTCTTCACTAGATCAACATTAACCTGGTAGTCGGGTTTGGTGAAGTAGTCCAAGGTCATGATGTGGTCCAGAAAAGTACTGAACTCAGAAGGAAGGTGCTTCAGCATGAGTCGATGGTCATACGTCTCTTTAAGGTTTCCTACTTGTTCCTTATGACAAAGCAAAAACATTTCAGTTCAGTTGATTCACACAGTTCAGTTACCACTCTCTGATTAATTACAGGATCACGTACTTTATCCTTGATTTTCCTCCAGGGAAGCTGACCAACGGTGAACTCGACCAGCATGTAGAAGAGGGACCAGAGGTCGTCATGTCGACCCATTTCCTGTAGATTGTCATTAGTGAACATGACAGAGCAAGAAAAATCAGAGCCAAGGAAAAACCTTGTGATCCCTGTGATAAAGTGTCACTAGAACCCACCCACCTTATTCTTATGAGCATTGACTGACGCATATCTGACAGTACCCCTGAATCCTGCAACAGGACGAGGCTAAAAGAAACAGAGGGAGTTACAGCACAGACATACATGGATGACAGTATTTGAAACAGCTTTTCAAAATACATTTATAGGTATTTTTAATCAACAAATATTTAAAGCAATGCTTTCAGTGAGCTGGCACACAGGACTTACTGGACGGACTTCTTGGCTTGAGTTAGTAAACTGACGGGCCAAACCAAAATCGAGCATATAGCAGCATCTGCAAGTACTGGCTAATCGTCCCATTGCAAAATTAGACTGGAAAGAACCAAAAACATGTATGAAGGAAACTATACTCTGTTGGCAGACGTATGCAGCGTGCTATGCATTAGTTTTAACACTGAGATTCAGGTAAAACGTACTGGTTTAATGTCACGGTGCAAGAAGCCTACGGAATGGATGCTTTCAATGGCTTCCAAAATCTGCCTGCCAAGTCTCAAAGTCGTAGAGACAGAAAAGGTACCACGAGCCATGGTTCTACGCAAATCTGCCAGATTCCTTCCCTGTAGAGAGGAAACAGTTGCAGCATGTCATGTTTTTAAACATAATAAATACAAAAAAGAGTCAACTGAAAATTCCCAAGTTAAGGTAGCTGATGACAAGCCTTACCTGGAGCTCCATCACCACGTAGTTGAAACGATCATTCCTGCCGCAGCCTACAAAGCGGCACACATGGTCTTTGCCTGCAAGAAAATTGTTTATTGACCAGATAAGAGAAAAATACAACTCTAATGCAGCACATATTTACTCTTTTTTTTTTAATACACCGTACTGTTTATTGATGTAATATTATAATACTGTGATGACAAAATGCTGAATGCACACAAAGAGTATTATTTGGTCAAAAGAATGCAAAACCCAAAATACAGCTTAGGCCTAAAAAAATGAAGTACTGTATGTGTTACAAATGTTAAAAATTCAGTCTACAAATGTTCCATGTCATATGTATTAGTATATATGCACTAGCAATATTTTGCCAGCGTATCCTGAGGTGACCTCTAAGTTGCTACAGTCTGCAGACATGGTTTCATAGCGCTGACTCCACAAGAAGGACAGAGAGCCTCTGGCAACACAATGCCCCACTGCTACAACAACCCTACTTTTCTTCAGACATCCTTCAGTTAGATTAACATCCTTTTACAATTTTATTTTACTAACTGCATTACACACATTGTTATGTGACTGATAATAAGCAGTCATAACAACAATATCATCTACTGATATAATCGCCTATTCGGCAATCCCAAATATACTATTAGTAATAATAGACTCTTTGTAATAAGTGTAACAGGTGAACATCAACCAAACTGTGGTGTTGTTAAATGTTGCCCTGAGAATTTTTTCTTAGTAGTAGTGATGAGAACTTATTAACAAATATTATATGTTCTGAGCAATAGAAATGTAGCCACATTTTCAATACAGTTACCCTCATAGCATGATTGCATAATTTATTTTTTGGCCAAATTGACATTTGTTCACACATCTGTCAATGTTGATGTTTTTTTCCCTCTTTTTTCTGTAAACCATAGAATACAACTTTGGCTATCATCCTACAGTATTTTGCTAAACTGGAATTAAATAATTAAATCTTTCGTTCAGGGCTTCATGTGGCAGCCACAGCCTGCTATGGAAGCTGTTTCTTCCAGTTCTCACACACAGTCTTTGGTGCCAGCTGAGCTAAACAATCGGTCTCTGGGATTCAAAAATTCACAGTCTTTGGTGCCAGCTGAGCTAAAAATCAAAGATTCAAAAATGAATCTGTCACTGACTGGACAACAATAAAAAACCTCACTCACCTTGCAGCTTTTTCAGCACTGCCACCTCCATCTTTAGCACCTGTTTGGGCTGTTGAGCTGACTCCACCTTTAAGGCAACGGTGGCCTGACTCAGCTGATCCAGGACCTCGTAGATCTCCCCAAACCCACCTCCACCAATCTTCCTGGACTGGTGTGTTGGAGAGAAATCATTTAGTCATTGTCAGGGCAAAGTACATACTTTGGTGTGTTCTTGATTTAATTCTGGAGTGATTTAATGAATTGACACTCACCACTTTCCATCTGTCCCTGACCACGTCTGTCACTGACAGGATGTCTGTGTGCTCTGCAGCCCCACTCATCCTGAGTGTTCTCAGCTGCAGCCTGCACCTGGCATCAGTGGCGCCTCACTAGAGCCAAAATGTATGTTACATACTGAGTGGAAAAAAATCGAAAACAACCTTAGGAACATATGAAACCGATGAACCATCACTCGTTGTATAATCGCTTGTACAGAAACGTGTGGAGAATCATTTAAAGGTCCGCCACACCTCGCGTCTCCAAGTGTAAAAAAAAAACAAGGGGTTGCCATTAAGCAAAACGACAAAAATGTTCTAAAAAAAAAAACGCGACTAACGAATTTATAAGATGACAACTGGTCAGAAGCTGCTCGTTACAGTGGATTAGTGTTGAGAAAGCTAATCTGACTGAGTGGCTATAAAAGCTAACTTGCATGTTTGCTAATGATAACTGTTATGCTGCGACCAATATTTCTTTCTTTTCCTCTCCCTTACCTCGCTCGGTCCAACCGAAGTGGCCGCAGTTATTGTGTAAATTCCAAACAGACCCCATCTTCGTCAGCCTGACAGCTCACTTACGGCAGTTGTTCGTGTTGCGGTAACGGTGCAAGGGTAGAGTTAGCAGAAGCTAACATGCTAATGATGCGGAGTGATGCTCTGGCTCGCGGTTACAGCAGCGGTGATGACGTAACTAAAGGGCAGGACCAAAGTCCAGTTCTGACATGGGCAAGAACCAAATCCAGATTACCCTTTAAAACAGGAGTGTCCCCAATTACTATATGTACAAAATATTAGGGCGAATTCAGTTAGAGGAATACAGATGAAGACACCATCACACACATTAAGGGACACATTAAATAGAACCAACGGTTCGGATTTTGCATTATGAAGGGGTCCCCCAAAGAGAATCCTTTTTCCTCTTAATAAAGAAAACACAAACTCACGAGAATCAAGAGGCGGTTAAAGAAAGTACAGTACTTTGTTTCATCATTATGTTACAACCTTTCCACCTTTGTTCAAGTCACTATTCATAATGGTTAACTTGATAAATGAAAATTATTATAGTAATATAAAGGGAAAAGGGAGAAAAGGCGGTGCAATTTGTATGTAGTAATAACAGAAGACGTAGAATTGTAATTCTACATTAAAAAAAACATGGTATTTAAATTTTAGAATGTTATTGAAAACCTTTAAACATCTTTGTCGAATTCAGTTGGTATTTTGATATGGTAATGCTGATGCTCGGGACCTTTCAAGCCTTAGCTACGGCCTTGGATCCACCAACCACAAATGTTTCCGTGAAGTGCTGAGGCTCCGCTTTCCGGGGCGGACGAGTGTCGGAAAGTAAACGCACACGGATACTGAAATGGGCGTGATCAGACAATTGGATTGGATAACAGGATGTGAGTTGAGCTGTTTTGGGGTGAGACGGTGCGTTAGGTGGCGCACAACTTTAGGCGTGTTACTGCAGTTTAATCGCTGCGGATTGAATCCGAACTGCGAGTCTGCGATTCGCCCCAAATTAGCGTCAGCGGGGGTAGCACATGGTTTGTAGATCAGCGGAAACACCCGTGCGGACTGACGAGCGCACCGCAGAGTTGTCACTCTCCCAACCGTCTCATGTGCGGTTTACGGACTAGGTGCGGTGTAGAAGAAAAAGTTGTGGATATGGTTTCCTGGAAGTGCACACTTTTACGGGCACACTGTGCAACTCTCTTACCGCAGTGTTGACGCTTCTCTCTCCAGCCTGTGTGGACTTTGGAGAGTTTCCCCCCTGTAGGTGCCGCCATATTGTGTGCGCTAGTGAAACTCGAGGGGAAAGTTGTCAGAGGAGTTATGACATTTGCTGCGCAGTATCCCTTCATGGGTCTGCGTGCAGTCAACTTTGATCGAAACCCAAGTGACTCCGCGGATCTGCGTGCTGCACACCGTTGACAAGGTACATTACCCGAGTTAAACTAACCCTGTGTAATCTACAGTGTTGCCTAACAGCAGCTGCGCTCTTCCTTGTTGCTGATTTTTTGAACATAACATCACTCACTGGATATCGCTCTGGTGATTGCATGAGCCCCTTCGTTTCCTGTAAGTCTTGTTTTTGCCAAATGGCAGATGAACTCTTCTTGTAACTGCTGGCTAGTTCAACAACTTCACTTTGTGCACACATCTGGGTGTCAAAACCAATAAAAATCTATTTTTGCTTCTGCACACTTAGCTGACCTTGCTATTACTTTGCTGTTTTGCTTGTGTATGGGGCCCATTTCCTCTTCACTGCATGTTTGTCTGCAAAGAGAAAGGACAAAAGAAAGTATCTAACACTCTCCTTCTCTCACAAGGTCTGGCAACCTCACAAAAAGAGAAGAATGGACACAGAACCTCAGATTTGATTGTTGGAGGAGTGCTTCATATTCCTCCACCCTGCACTTTCCTCTGGGATTTATATTTCCTCCCAAATACCTCTGTATACACAATAAAACAAAGAATTTGTGACAAATAGACACTAGGCTAGAACATAATTTTGCACCGCAGTTAAACAAGACAAAGCTCAGGATCTTTTTTGTACATTACAATATTAGTATGAGTCTCCCTCCTCAGGTCAATACTGACAAGAGTGGCAAGCATTGCGCTGTAGCCATGAAGGAGTCTGTGCAGCATTCTGGGGAGGTTTATTATGGTATGGCGCCTCCCACCTTAGAGGCAAGCCACAGTGATTCTGCTAGCAGCTCTGGCGTTTACAACACAGAGAAAGGGCCCCAAAGTTTACCACACTATCAACAGAATGCTCCAGTGAAGTGGATGCCCCAGGACAACATTCAGGCCCCCGGCTGGTCTCAGGAAGGCTCCGTGCCAGCCTGGGGGCAGAACTTTGCCCCCTACATGGGTGGTGTAGACGTCAGGAGTCAGATGGCGTTCCATAAATCGGTCCATGAAGGCATGGTTCTACCATTGGGGGGAGAAAATCAACTGCCAGCGCCTGAGGTCTACAGAGAGACAAACCAGGCACAAGGTCAGGCAAGAGGACTTGAGTGGGAGCAGCACACTGTGGCTGCAATGCACCAAGCTGCAATGTACCAACAGGGCCACAAAGGTGTGGATCTCCAGCCTCAGCCCCATGTGCAGCCCCACACATTGCAAGGATCAATGCTTCAGCCCTTTCAGACAACATATAGACCCAGCAAACAGCAGTTTCCACCTGGGTATTACTCTGTTTTTCCAGGAAACAAGGCGATGCCAAGTATGGCCTACAGTGAGCAGCCAAAAACCCAACAACAACAACAACAACTCCTGCATCAGATGCAGCAACAGCAGCAGCAACAAAAAATGCATCTTCATCACCAGCAGCAGCAGCAGCAGCAACAACAGCAACAACAACAGATCCAGCAGCAGCATCATATTCGACTGCAGCAACAGCAGCAGCAACAACAACATTTTCAGCAACAACATCAAATACAACAACTGCAGCAGATGCAGCAGTATCACCAGCAACAGCTACAGGAGCGACAACAACAAATGCAGCAAATGCAACATCAGCAACTGCCACAGCAGACTGTGGCACAGCAGGACCCAGCAACGCTACAGTTGCAGCCCAAACAGCAGCAGACCCAGACCTTTGCAACATTTCAGTCTCCTGACGCTTGTCCATCTGATGCTGTGTCTAGAAGAGAGAATGTCCAGACAGTGGAGCTGCAGCCTCCAACCAGTGACACGTCAACTGTACATGAAAAAGTCTCAGCAGATCCCACAGAGTCTTCAGATGCACCGGCGGCAACAGCAGCGGCCGCTCCTCGGCGCTCACGTCGCCTGTCCAGGGAAGGAGTTTCCCCTCTGGCTCCCCCTGTAGCAAACATCTGGTCTCAGAGCGCCAAAGAACCTTTGCTGCCCCAGAATGGAGTAACAGCAGGACAGAGAGGAGGAGGAGAAAGCCAGGTGACAACAGGAGGGGTCATCCAGGTCACCCGTAGGAGAAGGAGGGCATCCAAAGAGATCAACTTGGAGACTCTTGCTCAGACGGCCTCCGAAAGGCAGAAAATCATTAAGGTTAACAAATGAGAAAAAAAGCAATAAGAATACTTGTATTAGGAGCATTTAATGACAACTGAAAGATTTGATGGTCTGTTTCTTAAATCATGATTTTGGTTGTTTGTTCATTGAATAATCCAAGGATATTATTGTTGCTTGCTAATAGCAACACAAAAGATTAGCTTTTTTTTTTTTTTTTATTTTTTTGGGCACGCTGCTGTTGAGTCGTGGGGGAGCGAGGGGACATG